ATCAGGTTTAAAGTATTTCAATTGGGATGATTAAAACTCAAGCCCATGAGCTACTTTTATAGTAGTTGAAACACATCTCCTCTCCTTGTACTTTTCCGATGTGGGACAAGTTCTAGCACATGGAGACCATCCTTGTATTCTTTCAATGTGGGACAACTTTAATTCCAATATTTTGCCGAAACCCAACAAATCTCGAATTACAAGTAGTGGGGATTTTTGAGAAATGAGATAGGGAAGAAGAAATTGCAGTGGGATGGAGAATCTGAAGCGGTGCTGAAATTCAATCGGAGGAAATAGCGGAGCGAGAATTTGCGAGAGAAGAAGAATAATAATGTCTTCTTCTTCAAATGAGACATCTCCTTCGTTGGAATCAGATTCAAGTTTGAACGAGAGTTAGAGCGAGAGCGCCAAGAATTTACGTAATTATCTTGACATTTAAGTAATGTTGATCCTCTTTTAAAGTTAAACATATGCAATCTTGATACGAGATTCATGAAATTTTGACTTTCTTTTTAAATTAAATCCAGACATTTATGAAATATGGGGTGAGCGAGAGCTAGAGTTAGAGCGAGACCGCAACTTTCTCTGTGCTTATCTTCAAATCTACTCTTAAAACTTATGTATATGCGTTTATGATTTTTTGAGACAAAATCGAATGGACCTGCTCTTGTGTGTACACGTTTCTGATTTTTTTGGGAAACAAAAAATTGAATAAAACATCAAATGAGGAATGATTGTAGAAAAAAACGAAAAAGCGAGAGGAAAAACCACAAGATCTACTTTACGCTTGCGATGTTCTTCGAATGACGGAAAAAGCGAGACAGTTTCTTTCATTTCTTCGTTGAAGATAGAGAAAGTTTGAGGGAGAGGGAAGAGAGACGAGGGAGAGAAGAGGATGAAGAAAGAGAAGGAGAGAGAAAATCAAATTCAAATGAAAAAGAGGAGGGAAAGTAAAAATTTACCAAGTAGTGGAGGACATCATGGTCATTTGGTTTATTGGATGATGTCAACAATGTTTACAAAACATACAAATGAGGAGAGGGGCACATTTCATAATCATCATTCTATTTATCTTCTTACCTCGGAAAATTATGTTTGAGCACAAATTTATACAAAAATAATGAAATTAAATCAAAATTAACACTGAACTTGATTTTTACCTTAAAACTCTTAATTTCATCCCATTGTACTTTAAAATTGGATGAGTGTTGCAATATTCATCATAAACTTTAAAAAGTTCTGCAAATTCTACTCTATTGTAATTCAGACAAAACCGACTCTAGAATCAGAATTCTTTTTATTATTGAAATTTGTATGTTTTGGCACAATTATTTAGTTGTATATTTTTGTGCATTAATCAAATTTAATTTGTGAAAAACTTAATTTTCATTTAATTACCTAGTTTTTTGAGTTTATTACATTATTTATTTTCGGTTTTGAATTAAGAGGTGAATTAACATAAATTAAATAAAGGATAAAAGATGAACTCTTATCTAAGTTTTCGGGTTCAATTTGATGAATTTGAAAGTTTAGTGTAAGAAATTGATATAACTTACCAAGTTTAGAGGTAAAAAATGATTTTCTCTAACATAATTTTAGGTGCATTTATTAGAAACATCCTATTGAGCAGTATTAAAAGTAAACTATGACGACTTTTGATATGTATGATGGTATAAACTATAAATGTTAAAAAAATTTTGTAAAATAAATACTTAAAATTATGACTTCGTATAATACATATAATTTGACACTCAAATAAAATATAATTGAATTCTTAAAAGAAAGATAATAAAACTTATAACAGTTTATTTTTCTTTTTAATAAAATTGAATTTCTTTTGTGATGAGTTTTAAACTTTTTTCAGAGAATATTTCATCATGGTCCATGCCCTCAGAATGAGTAAACTCATTTGTCGCTAAAGTATTCTTAAACCTAGGTTTGTCTATATCATGGAGGAGGTTTTTTAATTAACAATATCTCCAAACTATCATACCTCGTCTTTCATGGTAGTCTACCTTTCTCTCTGTTCTTATCATTTGTAGTTTTTTTTGAAAGTTATTGATTAACAAACTCATTAGCGACTAATATGTATTACAAATATCTCTTTTGAATAATAATTTGTTCAATTTTGCCAATTAGATACGTGTCAATAGATCAAGCCCTTCTATTAGTTTTTAATTTTTTTAATTCAACAACACATAGGAGTAACAATTAGAATCTTCAACTTTTTGATCGATAATATATATCTTAATTAACCAATTAAATTATACTCAAATTACGTTGGGTCAATTATTACACATTGAATACAATTCTCATATAATTTTATCTTTTCAAAAAGCAAAGTATGCATCCACTAAGCTATTATTGCTTAGCATGTTCAAATTTAACTCTCTTTTCTAAAAGCAAAAAACAGTGTTTTCCTTTTAATTAAAGAAAATCACAAGTACTTTTTGCTTGATTCTTGAACTTTTTCACATATCTCTTTTGGCAAAAAGCAAGGGTGTAGGACTTGTTAGAGGTCATTATTCCTTATGTTGCGCCTCTGCTTAATAGTTAGAGGATAAATGTAACTGCACACTATGACAAGTAAATAATCTGCCCAAGTTCGTCTACGTAGAGACTAGTTTTCTTTTAAAATTGATTTTGTAAAGTGTTTGAATGAGAGACCGAGTTTGGGATAAAAATTTGTGAAATTTTTGGGAACACGATTTAAAAACACAAATATTAAAAGACCAATCTCTACTAAGATTTAGTTCTAAAAAGATGAATTACACCTACTAAATGTGCTTGTAATTAAATTCAATTTATGCAAACTGGTTCAACTCCTATTTCATACCACTTTTGGTTTGTTTAGAAGCTTAGGCTAGCCTTTACATATGTCTATGCAACTCTAGTATCCTAAATAAATCAAGTTCCAACTTACGTTTAACGGGTAGGAGAAYCTATGTCTAGGATCTTGTTTTAGTTCTTATTTCTAAGTAACTTCCCGTTTTACCATGATGAGATCTGTTTGACTCTAACATTTTCAGAATTAAATAAGCAAAGATATCGTAATACGCCGCCGTGCTCGCTGATAGATGTAATTTAAAATAGATGAACTAAACCATTCGTAGGACAGTTGAACAAACAATTTAGCTACTCATTGGATGTGAAAGTAACGAAAACACAAGAGAAGATAACAAAATAATGCATTTTAATTAGAATTGGAAAGAAAGTACAAAATGAAACAAATTGAATTGCAATAAAATAAATAAGAGTAATTGTAGAAAAATAATTAAAAAACAAAACTTAAATAAAAACTACAAAACTAAAATTGATAACAAAGTAGAAAGGAATACAAAAGCATGGAACTGAGATGTCTTGAAGTGATGTTTGGAAGCTCTTTTATAGGCCATGAAGGTAACAAAATGTTGAGAAATGCATGGGAGGTTGGAACCAAATGAGGTTATAGAGATTTTAGGAACTAATAACAAATCTTGGACCAATAACTTGGTCGTTATTCCGTTTTGCCAATCTAGGCATCGAATGTGGCAAGCATTGTGAAGCTAGAACTTTCAAAGTAACTTGGCTGACTCATTCCTCTACTAAGCTAGAAATTATGATCCTGCGATGTGCCTGACGCATTGTGATCATCAATCTTCACTTTTCGTTACAAAATAAACATATTTACACAAATTAGCCTTTATTTACCTATAACTGAATTCCAAAGTCTCTAATAAAAAATTATGCACATTTTTTCCTAAATTATATGCATGAACATACATTTTTCATCCAAAATAACCATCAACTAAGCATGCAAACCTACAATTTTTAGTCTTTAATCAAGTGTTATGAGCTTACTTGGGTGCTTGAAGGAAAAGTATTAATTTCTAGAGCTGGTGATTTTCCGAAAGGCTAATACTTCACGTACAGAGAAGGCTTGTTGTGTGGGGAAGGACTAAGGAGAAGTTTTAAAGAAGTGGCTAAGGGAAGAGAGTTACTTGGAAATAAATAAAACAATCTCATTAATGAGAGACAACAAAGGTTCCAATGACTCATCTTAGTAATCAATAGGAATAGTAGGAGTGAAAATTAATAATCCTCTATTAAAAAAGAAATAAACCGAATAAAAACGATTGTTTCAGGTCGGTTTGGGTTTGTCCGAGAACTGAACCAACCCAAACCGATTACACCCCTAAAGATTGTTTACCCTCCTACCATTCTTATTGATGACGATGATGAGGGTTATGATAAGGTAATTCAATTATTGGTTAAAATACTATTTTGGTACTTGTCATTTAAATTTTGGTACTTGTCATTTAAGTTTTGGTTCATTTTGATTTCTCAACTTTCAAAATGTTCATTTTGGTTTCTGTACTTTTAATTTTGATTCATTTTAGTTTCTGTACTTTTAAAAGGTTCTTTTTGATCCATATGCTTTTAAAAAGTGACCATTTTGATCCCAAATAATGGAAGTATAATATCCTTGAAGAAGAAAAGAAAAAAAAAAACGATGGGAGATATTTAAGTTTTGGCGGCTGAAAATGTCAAACTCTTTCCTTTTTTTTTTTTTGGAGATCAATTGTAGGATCAACGGATGCAGGCATGGAAATATCAATATATAAATGAACAATACTTGCTTACTACATAGGTTAGTGAAATTCTTACCCACTTAACTTTTTGAAATACCACGGTTTGTTCGTGAGTAATGATAGAATTAGTGATTAGATATAAGTATTATTGATTTTTCAAAATCACTATGTACCTGATACCTTAAAAATCAATTAAAAGTGATTCCAATTTTCTTAAATTCAATTTTTTAATTTGCCACCTATGATCCATGGAAAAGGTGAGTGATTTTGATAATGATAAAAGTCCAAAATCATAGCAAACACACCTCAATTGTCTCAAAAATTTTAGAACAACCTGTACTTTTGTTAAATCCAATATTTTATTGGAATTCACATATCTATAGATATAATAGAAATTGATCGATATAAATAGGTAAAATTAAAAAAAAGTACAGCATAAATGAGTATGTTCCCATAAATAAAAATTATGCCGTTGGAATGAACAAGCCAACAAAGCGAAAAATTAAAAAACTGACCACCCAAAACTTGAAACACACAAAAACTTGCCTAAAAAATTAAGTTACCTCATCAAATGAAGGGGAAACTAGCAGGGCGCAAAAAGACGATACGGCCGAGTGGGGTCTCATTTGGGGTATTCTTGACTAAAATAATTGGAAACAACTTTTGAGTCCAAAAGCTCGATCATCTGTGTAGATTTTAGGCACCGAGGTGTCTTGTATTGACTTATTGAAGCACCTCGATCCACTGCTTGCTCCATTAGTTTCTCAAAAGTTCCTGTTTCTACAATCTTTATCTCCAGTGGATTGATAACCTTATTATTGGATCTTGCTTGACGGTATACTGAAGAAAGCGACTCTTCAACAGCGAGACAACAATCCTCATAGACTGTAGATGGAATAGTAGAGGTTTCTTCCCTACATTGAATTTCCCAATACAACACATAATGTCCAGGAAATGTTGAACTATCCGCGTAGCTAGTGTAGTCCACAATAATAGCTCCCAATGGGCTCAAAAGACCACTAGCTTCTGTTACTGCATGATGAAGATCCACTTCATCTGTTTTCTCAATATCCAGGCTTAAAATGACATTTTTCCTACAAGCAAAACTAAAATTTGGGGTTTTATTTTTAAATCCTGTCACGCGAAGGATGTCACCCATGCAGTAACGGTAGAGGCCTGTCATTTCAGTTACATAATTAGCTAACTTTTATACATCTATATATGTAATAACATGTTTTCATACCAGTAATTCAACAAGAACTAAAAGTATAATCAATATGATAAGAAGGAAAGTTATGTTACCAGCATAAGTGGTGACAACAACCTCGTATTCTTGTCCTAACTTAACATCAACAAGATCAACTAATTCTTGGCCTACTTCTCCGTTATTAGAGTTTGCTCTGTCGACAGGCAAGAACTCAAAATAGGCCATGGTGGGCATAAAAGTGTAGGAGATTTCTTCAGGTTTACACAATGGGTCCAAGTTTATGCCAAAGAAGCACTCTGAAGAAGCATAGAAGACAGAGACAATAGGACATTTACAGTAGAAATTCAGTTGGGGAATGTATTGTGACATGCTTCCCGTCACAACAGTACTAATATATTTGGTGTTTGGCCACAATCTTGTAACAATTCCTTCCCATGCTCCTTTGCTGCATTCAGATTCAATAAAATCTGCCAGCTCAGGATTAGGTTTCAGAACACTCATAACTGATTCCCTCACTAATGGGTCTTCAATTTTGGCGTCTACAGTTCCCGTTCGTATATCATTTACTAAAAGAGCCCAATGATTTTCGAGGAACTTAAAAATATAAATTAAAGTAGAGGCAAAAAGAGCACCAACTCGGAGAACGATCTGGTTCTGGCAGAGCCCACATAGCAATTGGCAATATAGGCTTTGGTATACATCAGTGCAGCGAATGATGTCAATAGGGCTTGTATATGCCCTTAGAACCTCCACACTACTGAAAAGTGAACATTTCGACAAACATGAAGACAGCAACTGAGCAACCATTCCACCTTTAGTTTTTGTCTCAGCCCTCGTAAAATTAAAGAACATTTCTTTGCCATTGAGCAGACCTGGAAACAACTGTTTCATCATTGGTATCGCATAGTAATTAGTTGCCAACCTTCTCAAGAGCTCTGATTGAAACATTGGAATTAACTTTTGTGCTCCCCCAGATGTCCCAGTGCTACAAAAAAAACAGAGAAAATCCCACATAAATGTATTGAAAGTATGAAAATCACAGCAGCAAAGAAATCATTAAGAATTCATAAGAGATCCTGTTTTAGAATAATGGATCACCTTATAAGGAAATCTGTAATGGTGTCTGCACATAGAATTGGAGAATCATCCCCATCGGCAATCCGATCAATGTAAGGCTTTAACTGTTCGTAAGAGACAACAGGTATGAGCTTCTTGAAGGTTGAAATATCTGTAGACCCATCAAGGCCGAGTTGCTTCAGGTACTCGACATGAGCATTTTTTGATAGAATTTCAGTTATAACTCGTCGTTGGATTTCATCAGCATTGCTGGTGAAATCTTCAATATGGTATAAGATTTGCTTATCTTTGGCATCCAGTATATCATCCGACATTTTTTTAAAAGGTTTTGAAGTTTTGGAAAACAGAGGAGCAACGCAGAGGAAGATGGGAGCAGTGATTAATAAATTGGTCTCTATCTCTATATATATCTGTTTTTATTACTGAAATAGAAAGTTGTTTAAAAGACTTGGCCTACAAGGCTCCCTATTTTTATTCTGTTTATTTCTTTTATTTTATTTTACTCCTTTAACCAATCAATCCACTCTTCCTGTTGAATAGGAAGGAGTGGTCTCAAACTTGTTGAATGAGTGGCTACTGGCTCTAATAAGAGACAGTGCTCCTAAATCCTAATAAAAGGGGGCGGCATAAGACAATATAAATTTAGAAACTTTGCTTCTGTTTAGTTGAAGGAGAGTACTTCCAATAATAATTTAAAAATTTGACATAAAAATTACTCATTTGATTAAACAAAAGGGGTATGAAATTATTATCTTTCTTAAAAAATTAAATAAAAACAAAAATGGTTGTAATGTAACCATCGCACGATAAATGAAGACACAAACGAACAAATAATTAAAGAAAGTTTGGGAAGGAAAGAAAAGGTGAAAGGTTGGTGGATTTAGATAAATAATTCTAAAAATGGTAATTTTGAAAAAGTTGGATCCAAGTTTTAGTTTCTTAGGTAGGCTCAGAGCACAGTAAAAGCTCCCCACATGTTGTACTAAAAAAAACGCAACCCTTAAAATGGTCCCCAAGTATCTCCACAATTGTATGATATTGTCCGCTTTAGGCATAGCTCCTCACGGCTTTACTTTTGTTTCACCTAAAAGGTCTCAAATTGTCCTCCCTTATATACTCATGATCATTCACTTCTCTAACCCATGTGGAACTTTATTTGCACTCCTTACAAATCCAAGACAAACAAAACTAAATCGAGTGGTTAAGGTGCAAGGACGAAACATAAATTATTGTCACGACTTTAAATAATTTATCAATACTAGAATAAACAATATATTTACCTTAATTGGCAAATATCTCCAATCTAGAGATTGCGAGTTCGAATCCACATCCCCACTATTGTGGTATTAAAAGAAAAAACTATATATTTATCTAGATCCTTATTTATATTGACTTATCTTTTTATCTATTTTACTCTTGCATTGATTTTATTAAATTTTGTTGAACTTGAACATAATTCAGCTGGTTAACATGTAACAAATCGTGAATTATTTCTACTCCCACACATATTCAACCAAATATTAAATTTTAAAATACTATTAATAAATAAATAAAATAAATTATTGTGATTTCCACTTTATTTGTCACTGCTATATTACAATAAAAAATTCAGCTGGTTAACATATAACAAATCGTGAATTATTTCTACTCCCACACATATTTAATCAAATATTAAATTCAATTATTGTGATTTCCACTCTATTTGTCACTGCTATATTACAATAAAAAATTCTTTTTCTTTTAGGTATGAATTATTATTTATTGGATTCAATAGTAATCTCCACTATAAAAACCTTTTAACGAAATTGGAGGAGGTTAACTTGAGGATATTGAGGACTCGTTTGGTAATGTTCTTGTTTATTGTTTCTGTTTCTTTATTTTTAATGATGAAAAATGTATTGTATGGTTCCAACCTCTAAGAATTTAACAATATTTTTATTTATGTTTTGAAATAAATTGGAAATGAAAACAAGAAAGGAGAAACTAGTTTTTGTTGTTTCCAAAATTTCTATACAATTGTGACAATGTTCCCAAAAAAGGAGAAACAAAAAACAAAGTTAATTGAAAAATACTTAGATTTCTTAAAAAAATTGGAAACGAGAATGTTACCAAACGAGCTCGAACCCTAGTTTCGACAGTCGAAAATGTCAAACTCTTTCCTTTTTATTGGACAATAATTATGAGTGAAACGATACATATTTGTGTAAATGTCAATTCATATACATGAACAATACGCATAGATCAGAGAAGGTCATACCTAATTTTTGGATACAGCATATTTTTACTAACTAAAAAATTTTAGTGAAAATTATTTATAGATTAAATACAATATTTTAGTGGGAATAAAAAATCTATAAAAAAATTTATTTATTGATTAAGTACAATATTTTGTTGGGAAATAAAAATCTATAAATATAATAGAAATAGACGGATAAAAATAGTTCAAATTAGAAAAAACGGGGTAAGATGAGTATTTTCTATCCAGAAAGATTCTACCTTTTCAAATGAACAAAGCCAAACAAAACCAAAAACAAACATAAATCTCTTCCACGTGAATTAAACCAACCACCTAAATAGTATAAATAAATCACAAACTTGAAATACACACAGTCTTACCCTAAATTAACTTACCTTATCAAACCGACAACCCAAATAGTACAAATAAATCACAAACTCGAAGTCTTACCTAATTAACTTACCTCATCAAATGAACTATCGGGGGCAAAAAGATTAGGATGCTGACGAGTGGGATCCCATTTGGGATATTTTTTACTAAAATAATTGCCGAACAACTTTTGAATCCAAAAACTCTACCATCTCCAGAGATCTTATGCATCGAAGTGTCTTGTATTGAGCTATTGAGGTACCTTGATCAACCATTCGCTTCATTAGTTTCTCAAAAGTTCTTACTTCTACAATTTTTATCTCCAACGGATTGATAACTTTTTGATGGGATCTTGCTCGACGATATGTTGAACTAAGGGACTCTTCAACAACAAGACAACAATCCTCGTAGATTGAAGATGGAATGATGGAGATTTCTTCTTTAAATTGAATTTCCCAATACAACACATAGTGTCCAGGAAATGTTGAGATATCCGCGTAGCTGGTGTAGTCCACAAGAATTGTCCCAAATGGGTTCAAAAGATCACTAGCTTTGTTAACTGCATTATGAAGCTCTGCTTCATCTGTTTTCTCAACGTCAAGGTTTAAAATGACGTTTTTCCTACCCACAAATCTAAAATTTGGAGCTTTATTTTTAAATCCTGTAACCCGAACGATGTCACCTATGCAATAACGATAGAGGCCTGCCATATCAGTTACATAATTAGCCGGCTTTTTCCACCAGAATTCAAAAGTATAATAAATATGAAAAGAATGAAAGTTATGTTACCAGCATGAGTGGTGACAACAACCTCGTATTCTGGTCCTAACTTGACATCAACAAGATCAACTAATTCTTGGCCTACTTCTCCATTACCGTTCGCCCCATCCACGAGCAAAAACTCGAAATAGGCCACAGTGGGAATAAAAGTGTAGGAGATTTCCTCAGGTTTACACAATGGGTCCAAGTTCATGCCAAAAAAGCACTCTGAAGAAGCATAGAAGAGAGAAACAAGAGGCAAACCTTTACCGTAGTAATTAAGTTGGGGAATGTATTGTGACATGGTTCCCGTCACAACAGCATTAATGAATTTTGTGTTTGGCCACAATCTTGTAACTATTCCTTCCCATGTTCCTTTGCTGCATGCAGATTCTATGAAATATGCGAGCTCAGGATCAGGTTTCAGAATATTCATAACTGATCTCCTCACTGATGGGTCCATAATTTTGGTGTTTATAGTTCCCGATCGTATGTCATTAGCCAAAAGAACCCAATGATTTTCGAGGAAGTTAAAAATATAAATTAAAGTGGAGGCAAAAAGAGAACCAACTCGAACAACTTTCTGGTTCTGGCGGAGCCCACATAGCAATTGGCAGTATAGGCTTTGGTATACATCTGTGCAGCAAAGGATGTCATTAGGACTTGTATAACTACTTTCAACTCTCACATCATTGAGATGTGGACTTTTGAGAAAACTTGTGGACACAGAACGAGCAACAATTCCAGCTTTAGTTACTGATTCAACCTTTGCGAAGTTGAAGAACATTTCTTTGCCATTGTGTAGACCTGGAAATAACTGTTTCATTCTTGGTTTCGCATATTTAGAAATAGAAAACTTTCTCGCAAACTCTTGCTCAATCATTGGAATTAACTTATGTTCTCCCCCAGATGTCCCAGAACTACAAGAAAACATAAACGTCTTCTGCATCAATAAAACTGACAAGAATTCGACATGAAGGTATAAAAGTATGAAAACTAGAGTAGTAAAAAAATCATGAAGTAAGAAGAGATCATGTTTTAGAATGATGGGTCACCTCGTGTAGAACTCTGTAATGGGTTGTGCGCATAGAATTGGATTATCATCGCCGTTGGCAATGCGATCAATGTAAGGTTTCAAGTGTTCGTAAGAGACAACAGGTATGAGGTTCTTGAAAGTTGAAGCATCTGTGGAGCCATCGAGGCCGTGTTGCTGCAGGTACTCAACATTAGCATTTGTTGATAGAATTTCAGTTAGAACTCGTCGTTGGATTTCATCGGCATTACTGGTGACATCTTCGAGATCTTGTAAGGCTTGCTTGTCTTTCTCATCCAGATTCGACATTTTTGTTTAGGTTTTGAAGTTTCGTGAAACAGAGGAGCAATTTAGACACTGCAGAGGATGGTGTATGGGAGCAACGATTATTTACTCTCTCTCTCTCTCTCTCGTATGTGTGATACAACAAATGATGACAAAATAGTGTAGTTGACAGCTGTAATAACATAATCAGACAATGTATTAGTACATTAAAAAATTTTCCAAACTTTGGTGTAACTTCATTTTCTAACCTAAATTAATATTTGTCGACCATAATTATGCGACTCTTTTTACCAAAAAAAAAAGAGAGAAAAAAGATAATTTGATATATACCTCCAATTATGAATTCCATCCCATCCCATATATTGTAAAAGAATATATAAATTAATATTTTATTTAATTAAAAAATACAAAAGTTGATGTCTTTCTCTCCTCTCTTCTCTTTTCTTCCATCTTTCATTTATTTCTTTTCTATTGTCAAATTTCTCCTCTCTTCACACTTCTCCCTTTCTTTCCTTTAACATTTCCTCACTTCCATTTTTTAAAGCAATTGTATGTATGATATCAGTGAGATACTTGATTCGAATCCTTCATCTGAAAAAATCGAGAGATTATTTTTCTACAGGAAGATTAAAAATTTGTTTCACCACACTCGCAATTCACACACTATTTTGAAATTTATTGGTTTTGTCGATTTCTTCTTCGGCTAATTATTTGAAGAACAATTTTGATGAGAACTTTGGGCAAAATCCATGCGAAATTGCTCATTTTCATTGAATCTACATGTGTTTTTATCTGCATGATAGTCCGAGGAATGTTACATAGGCAAGTTGTGGGAATTTGCTTGTGTTTTTACTCAAGTTTTTGTACAAGTTTGTTGAACATGTCTTTTACTCAGACATGAACTTAAGCGAGTTTTAGGCCACGGAAAAAAACAGTGATTTTCGCACAAGTTTTGTTTTTGATAAGTTTGTTTGTGCACAAGTTTTACTCCGGGCACGAATTTGTGGGGTTTTAAGCCAAGGAAAAAAAGGCTTTGTAACCGGTGGTTTTTGCACAAGTTTGGTTGTACACAATTTTTTGCATAATTCTTACTCCGGCACGAACTTTGGCATGTTAGAGAAAGTTGATTTAGGTTAGAAAAGTATTTTCAAATGGTAGATCATTTGAGCAAAGTAAAAACTTTTTAAAGTTACTTCGATTAATTTTCCCGTATTTTGTCTATTACTTTTATTCATTTTTTATTCAACTTTTAAAATTAGGAGTGCATATGGGTAAATTAGATTAAGATACTTTTTTAATCAAATTTAGTTGTTTGAGTTATAATTTGTTTTTTTAAGGATAATTCGAGGGATGGAGGATGAACTCATATCCAAATATATGTCAATTACCGCTTAACTCGCTTTAACATTATAATTTATTCAACCCATACAATCTAGTTGGATAATATACACCCAATCATAAACTATTTTGGTAAAGTTTCGAATGAGTCGGATGATTGGTTCAAAATTTTACTTTAAAAAAAGAGTGAAAATGCTTATCCATGAAATATCTATTTAATTTACTTGTTTCAAACATTGAATAGTAGAGTTTACCAGATGAACTAATTCTTATTTTAGGAAGTTATATTATGTTTATTATTGGTCACATTGTAAATATCACTTAGATTAATGAGAAATATATCTTAATTTCTCTCCATTTATTTTTCTAATATTGAATTAAGATTATTGCTTTTGAATTTGAGCATGTTAAATGGTGAAAGCACTATAATTTTATTTTTAGTTTTAGGTCAATAGTTCAAATATCCATTAAACCTCACCATCAATTTTTTATATATTATGAATATTATACTCTTAGGGATTTATGAAATTATTTTGTAAACAATTTTACAAACTCTAGTTTTCGAACTCACGACTAGCTCAATTGACAATCCCACTCCTATTTGTTCTATATAAAAAGGAATAAGATATCATATATGCTTATGAGGAACCAACGCAAAAATTAAATTTCAATTTATTTAGAACCTAATCCCACTCATAAGATTTGGGTTAGGTTGATCTTTAGATTCTTTGAATATGATGGAATAAAATTTCAATCTACTTAAACCTAATCTCACTCATAATCAGCATGTGGGCTAGATTAATTTTTAAATTCATAAATCATCATATAATTACATGTGTTTATTTGTCAAAATGAGTATAATTTAGCAGTAATTGACATATATCTCCAACTAAGAGGTTGTGAGCTTGATCCCCCACCGTATATGTTCTACTAAAAAAAATACATGTGAAAGTAACAATCAATTAATAGAAAGATATATTTTTCAAAAGTGAGTAGAAATTTTCAATATATGTGATTCATTGTATATATTGCAGGAAGGCTTTATTAAAAGTCGTGACTTTTATTTTTTATATATATAAAGTCATGATTGGTGTATTATATATTATTGATAATTACTTGGAGTCAATTTGAGTAATATAGTTCACTTAATAAACACATCAAGTATTTTTGGTTAGGTCTGATTACATCTCATATTTGTTGTATATATACACTATATATAAAGGAAAAAAATATCAAATGGCTACGACTATGAGGTTTTATTTTTCTGAGTAGAAAACAGTTTAAAGAGAAAGAAAGGAGAATGGAATGATCACAATTGACTGCTCTTCATTCTCATTGATCAAGTTCTCAAAGGTGAGATTTATAGACCATTTGTCAAATACAAAATAAAGTTATTTTCCACATGTAACAATAAAACCAGTTGTAACCAATACGTACAATTGAATAACAACAGAGATTAGCTGCTGTTAACGCACCCAATGGTTGACCAAGATACAACATTGAGCGTGGACCTTAAGTAAGAAGTGTGAAGCTAATAGAGGCTCTTGGTGAAAACATCTACCACTTGAGCTGAATGCAGTAATATGACAAATCAAAAGACGTTTTGAAAGCATAAGATCATGAAACAAAATAGATATCCAAGTTATATATGCTTAGTTCATGATTTAGTACACTATTGGAGGGCATTTAAACAGGATCGAAGTAACAATCTGTTCATATTAGTGATAATTTGTTTTGCGCTTCCATTTTAGATGTTCCAAATTCTGAATCAAAGATCATGAAAAATTCACTTTCAATCGCAACTTGTTCAAATCGAGCTTTGTTATCTTGATCAATAAATCTCTCCAATCCATTACATTGAAGAGTTACGAGAACCTGTAGATGTCACAACAGGGAATTATCGTCAATCAATTTAACTCTAGAGAACTTATTACCATGATTTATGGTTTGAGAATTCTAAATTTATGGAGGTTAAATCAAAGTTCCTCCCCGATGAAATTAACATCATTGCTACACAAATTTTACATTTAAAACCACAAGTTTTACTCGTATGATTCTAAAGATGTACTATTGTGAATATATGTTATAAACTTTGTATAATTATTATTTTACATATTGTATAATTTATAATATAATATATTTTATATTTTTTAATTTTAACACACGAAATAAATTATAATGTGAAAGGAAGTTCTTATATTTTTTAGATACAATAATATATTTTAAAAGGGTAATTGCAATGGGTAGCAAAAATATTTTATACATTTCAAAAAATGTCGTCAGCTTTTCAAAATTTCAAATATAGCAAAATATTTGAATTTTTATTTTCGAAATTTTTATTATTCCAATTTTACCCTTATGATATCTAATATATATCTGATGTATATCTATATCTGATATACATCCAATTTATATCTGATATACATATGATATATATCATACATCAAATCTATATCTGATATACATCTGATGTAAATTTGTATATGATATACATCAAATCTATATCTAATATACATCCGCCTGATATACTTCCGATATACATTCGATGTACTCCTAATATACAGTATTAGATATATCATGATATACATTATCAGATATACCACTGATAACATCAAATGCACGTATTATACATATAATATATATATATCTGATGTACTTCTAATTTATGATATATTAAATATATTTCCAACTGATATACCAAATATATTTACAACTGATATACTAAATATAGAGTATATCAAATGTTTAATTTTTATTGGTATATCAGCTATTTAAATTATAGTTTATCATTTCAATTTGTTGATTAATATACTAATATTATCAATAATGTTGATTACTATATCACTACTATTTATTCAATATTAATATTAATTAGATATTAAATATAAGAGATATCAACTGTTTAAATTTATAAAGTATATCAAAATTTTAACTTGTCTTTTTGGACGTGCATGGTCCACGTAAACCTTTTATATAATAACTTTATATTTCAAAAATAAAAGATAAAAAATTTTGTACCATTGTTTTCATCTGAAAAAAGTATTAGATATAATAGTATGATATCAACACACATATATCATAGTTATATTAGTAGATATAATGGCTATATCAGAGGTATATAAGTTGTAAATTAGAAGCATATTAAGTATATATAGTGTTATATTAGTGGTAAATCATATAATTGTATTAGTGTGGTAAATCAATGGTTATCATACGTATATTAGTGATAAGACATGTTAGAAGTTGAGTAGATATCATGGTTATATCATAAGTAAACCAATTGTATATCATTATTATATCAGTGGTATATGAGAGATATATATCAGTAGTCAGATATATTACAGATATATATCAGATATATTAAAGGGTGAATTTGTAATTTTACAATTGGACCTCCGTTTTTTCTGGAAAAAAATGCTATATTTGAAAAAACTAAATGTGATTGCTATTTTACTTATTTTACTAAAATTTTTTGCCACATTTGCAAGTGTCCCTATTTTAAAGTATTAAATTTAGAATTTGAAATGCTGAAAGTATAAAAAATGGTTATCTATATTGACTTATCTTTTATCTATTTTATTCTTCACTAATTTTATTAAATTTTGTGAACATAGTTAAGCTGGTCATAAAATAAGAAGTTGTGAATTTCTACTCACACCTATTATACTTAAACAAATATTAAATTTTAAAATACTATTAATAAATAAATAAAATCAATTATTGTGATTTCGACTTTATTTGTCACTGCTATATTACAATAAAAGATTCTTTTTCTTTTAGGTATGAATTATTATTTATTGGATTCAATACTCATCTCCACTATAAAATCCTTTTAACAAAATTGGAGGATGTTAACTCGAGGATATTGAGTTTAGGCAGCCGAAAATGTCAAACTCTTTCCTTTTTATTGGACAATAATTATGAGTGAAACCATAAATATTTGTGTAAATGTCAATTCATATACATGAAAATACACATAAATCAGAGGTCATACCTAATTTTTGGATACAGCATATTTTTACTGACTAAAAAATTTTAGTGAAAATTATTTATAGATTAAATACAATATTTTAGTGGGATTAAAAAATCTATAAAAGATTATTTATTGATTAAATACAATATTTTGGTGGGAAACAAAAAATCTATAAATATAATAGAAATAGACCTATAAAAATAGTTCACATTAGAAAAAGTGTATAAAATGAGTATCTTCTATCCAGATGAAAAAGCCAAACAAAACCAAAAACAAACATCAATCTCTTCCACATAAATTAAACCCACAACTCAAATAGTGCAAATAAATCACAAACTTGAAATACACAAAAGTCTTACCCAAATTAACTTATCTCATCAAATGAACTAGCGGGGCCAAAAAGATTAGGGTGCGGACGAGTGGGATCCCATTTGGGGTATTTTTTACTAAAATAATTGGCAACAACTTTTGAATCCAAAAACTCGATGATTTGGGTAGATTTTACGCATCGAGGTGTCTTGTATTGACTTATTGAGGCACCTTGATCAACCATTCGCTCCATTAGTTTATCAAAAGTTCTTGCTTCTACAATTTTTATCTCCAACGGATTGATAACTTTTTGGTGGGATCTTGCTCGACGGTATACTGAACTAAGGGACTCTTCAATAGCAAGACAACAGTCCTCATATATCGAAGATGGAATGATGGAGATTTCTTCCTTAAATTGAATTTCCCAATACAATACATAGTGTCCTGGAAATGTTGAACTATCCGCGTAACTAGTATAGTCCACAAGAATCGCCCCAAATGAGCTCAAAAGACTGCCAACTTTGTTAACTGCATTATGTAGCTCCGCTTCATCAGTTTTTTCAACATCCAAACTTAAAATGACGTTTTTCCTACCCACAAATCTAAAATTTGGAGCTTTATTTTTAAATCCTGTCACCCGAACGATGTCACCTATGCAATAGCGGTAGAGGCCTGTCATATCAATTAAATAATTAGCTACCTTTTATAGGTTTTTCAACCAGAATTCAAAGTATAATCAATATGAAAAGAAGGAAAGTTATGTTACCAGCATAAGTGGTGACAACAATCTCATATTCTTGTCCTAACTTGACATCGACAAGATCAACAAATTCTTGGCCTACTTCTCCACTATCGTTTGTCCTGTCCACAGGCAAGAACTCGAAATAGGCGACGGTTGGAATGAAAGTGTAGGAGATTTCCTCAGGTTTACACAATGGGTCCAAATTTATGCCAAAGAAGCACTCTGAAGAAGCATAGAAGACAGTAATAAGAGGCAGAGATTTACAGTAGTAATTAAGTTGGGGAATGTAGTGTGACATGCTTCCCGTCACAACAGCATTAATGAATTTGGTGTTTGGCCACAATCTTGTAACTATTCCTTCCCATGTTCCTTTGCTGCATTCAGACTCTATAAAATCTGCAAGCTGAGGATCAGGTTTCAGAATATTCATAACTGATTTCCTCACGTACGAGTCCATTATTTTGGCGTTTATTGTTCCCGTTCGTATGTCATTAGCCAAAAGAACCCAATGATTTTCGAGGAACTTAAAAATATAAATTAAAGTGGAGGCAAAAAGAGAACCAACTCGAACAACTTTCTGGTTCTGGCAGAGCCCACATAGCAATTGGCAGTATAGGCTTTGGTATACATCTGTGCAGCAAAGGATGTCAGTAGGACTCGTATAACTACTTTCAACTTTCACATTATTGAGATGTGGACTTTTGAGAAAACTTGTGGACACCGAACGAGCAACAATTCCAGCTTTAGTTATTGATTCAACCTTTGCGAAGTTGAAGAACATTTCTTTGCCATTGTGAAGACCTGGAAACAACTGTTTCATTCTCGGCCTCATATAGTTAGAAATAGACAACTTTCTCGCAAACTCTTGCTCAATCGTTGGAATTAACTTTTGCTCTCCCCCTGATGTCCCAGTGCTACAACAAAACATGAATGCCTTCTGCATCAATAAAACTCTAAAACCCATCTCGACAAGAATCCCACATAAAGGTATAAAAGTATGAAAACCAGAGTAGTAAAAGAATCGTTAAGAACTTGGAAGAGATTATGTTTTAGAATGATTGGTCACCTCGTGTAGAACTCTGTAATGGGGTGTGCGCATAGAATTGGAGAATCATCGCCGTTGACAATACGATCTATGTATGGTTTCAAGTGTTCGTAAGAGACAATCGGAATGAGATTCTTGAAGGTTGAAGCATCTGTGGAGCCATTAAGACCGTGTTGCTGCAGGTACTCAACATGAGCATTTGTTGACAGAATTTCAGTTAGAACTCGTCGTTGGATTTCATCGGCAGTTCTGGTGACATCTTCAAGATCCTGTAAGGCTTGCTTGTCTTTCTCATCCAGATTCGACATTTTTGTTTAGGTTTTGAAGTTTCGTAGAACAGAGGAGCAATTTAGACGGTGCAGAGGATGGTGTAATGGGAGCACCGATTAATTACTCTCCATCCCTCTCTCTTGTATGTGTTATACAAATGATGACACGATACTGTAGTTGACAGCCGTACTCCACTCTAACAAAGCATAAGCAGGAGGAGAAAAAATAGGGAAAGAATATCTCAGGCCTACGGTTTTGAGAGAGAATAATCAAAAGGAGAAAAGTAAAAGGTACACGTGGTAAATAAGGAATGGTAAAGAATAAAAAGAATAAAAACAGAACAATAAAAAGAATAAAACCGATTTCGAATTCAGAAGATTGATGAAGTGTACTTGGACCCTTCATCGACTATTGAGGTTGTCTAATTTTCTTTACACACTCTCAATAACATAATCAAACATGAAACAGTAATATTTATCAAAGTAAGCCTAATTGAAATAATTTGTATATAGATGTTATGAATTTGATCTCAATTGTAATAAAAAATTTAAATTAATATTTTATTTAATTAAAAAAATACAAAATTTGATGTCTTTCTCTCTTCTCCTCTTTTTCTTCCGTCTTTCATTTATTTCTGTTCCATTATCAAATTTCTCCTCTTCCCCGCTCCATTTCCTTCTTTTTTTAACATTTCCTCACTTCTATTTCTTTCCTTTTAACATTTCCTCACTTCCATTTTTTAAGCAATTGTATGATATGAGTGATACCTTTGATTCGGATACTTTCATCCGAGAAAATTGGGAGATTATTTTTCTAGAAGGAAGATTAAAAATTTGTTTCACTGCACTTGCAATTCGCTCCCTATTTTGAAATTTGTTGGTTTGTTCGATTTCTTCTCCAACAAATTATTTGAAGAATAGTTTTGAGGAGAACTTTGGACATAACCTATGCCAAATTGCTCATTTTCGTTGAATCTACATGTGTTCTTGGTTGCATGATAGCCCGAAAAATGTTACATAGGCAAGATGTGGGAATTTGCTTTTGTTTTTCTCAAGTTTTTGTACAAATTTGTTGAACGTGTCGTTTACTCAAGCATAAGCGAGTTTTAGGCCGAGGAAAAAAACAGTGGCTTTACAAATAGTGATTTTCGCACAAGTTTTATTTTGCATAAATTTTTTTGTACACAAGTTTACTCAAGCACGAATTTGTGCGAGTTTTAGGCCGAGGAAAAAAATGGCTTTGTAAATATTGGTTTTTGCACAAGTTTTGTTTTGCACAATTTTTTGCTTTAACTTTTACCACGCTCGAACTTTGACATGTTAGAGAAAGCTGATTTAGGTTAGAAAATTAAGTTTTCAAATGGTAGATCATTGGAGCAAAGTGAAAAGTTTTTTAAGTTACTTTATTAATTTCCTCATATTTTATCTATTACTTTATTTGTATCGAATTTCAATTAGTTTTTTATTCAACTTTTAAAATTAGGAGTGTTTATAGGTAAATTAGATTAAGATACTTTTTAATCAAATTTAGTGGTTTGAGTTATAATTTGTTTGCTTGTTTTTTTTTAGTACAATATGAGGAATGAGATATCAAGTTCACATCCAAGATATGTTAATTACTGTTGAGCTCCATTTGGTATTATAATTTATTCAATCCATACAATTTAGTTGGATAATATACAACTAACCATAAAATATTTTGGTAAAGTTGGTTCGAATTCATTTGTTCAAATTTTTACTTTAAAAAAGAGTGAAAATGCTTATCCATCAAATATCTATTTAATTTACTTGTTTCAAACATGGAATACTAGGAGTTTAACAAATGAACTAATTCTTGTTTTATGAAGTTATATTCGGTTTATTATTGGTCACATTGTAAATATCACTTAGATTAATAAGGAATATATCTTAATTTCTCTCCCATTATGTTTTCTAATATTGAATTAAGATTGCTTTTCAATTTGAGCATGTTAAATAGTATAATTTTTCTTTTAGGTCAATAGTTCAAATCTCCATTAAATCTCACCGTCACTTTTTTTATATATTATGAATATTATACTCTTGGGGATTTATGAAATTATTCTGTAAACAATAATACAAACTCTAGTTTTCGAACTCACGACTAGCTGAATTGACAATCCCACTCATATTTGTTCTAAAAGGAATAAGATATCATATATGGTTATGAGGAACCAAAGCAAAAATTATTTTTCAATTGATTTAAAACCTAATCCCACTCATAAGATCATGTGGGTTAGGTTGATCTTTAGATTCTTTGAAAGATAGAATAAAATTTCAATCTACCTAAACCTAATCTCACTCATAAGATGTGGGCTAGATTAATTTTTAAATTCATTAAATCATCGTATCAAATAGAGTTAATTACATGTGTTTATTGTCAAAGTGAACATAGTTCAGCAGTAATTGACATATATCTTAAACCAATAGGTTGTGAGTTCGATACTACTAAAAAAACATGTGCTTATTAAATAAAATAACGATATATTAATAGAAAAATATATTCTTTAAAAGTAAATAGAAATTTTCAATATATGTGCTTCATTAGAGCTTGATTAAAATCGTGAGTTTTCTTATATATATAATTAGTATATATATTATTTATTATTGATGAGTACTTGGAGTCAATTTAAGTAATATAGTTCACTTAATTATAAAGACATCAATATCTTGGGATAGATCTAATCTTCATCTCATTGTTGTATATATACACTATATACATGGAAAAAATATCAAATGGCTAGCTATGACTATGAGATTTTATTTTTCTAAGTAGAAAACATTTTAAAGAGAATGGAATGATCACAATTGACTGCTCTTCCATTCTCATTGATTAAGTTCTCAAAGATCAACAAAACCAGTGCAACCAATACTTACAATTGAATAACAACAGAGATTAGCTGCTATTAACCCACCCAATGGTTGACAAAGATACAAGATTGAGCGTGGACCTTAAGTAAGAAGCGTGAAAAAATCTGCCACTTGAGTTGAATGCAGGAATATGACGAATCGTATCATAAGATCACGAACCAAATAGATATCAAGTTCTATATATATATCTTTAGTTCATGATTTAGTATATTATTGGACGGCATTTGAACGAGAAGTAACAATTTGTTCATATTAGTGATAATTTGTTTTGCTGCTTCCATTTTAGATCTTCCTAATTTTGAATCAGAGACGATGAAAAATTCGCCTTCAATTGCAACTTGTTCAAAAGGAGTTTTGTTATATCGACAAATCTCTCCAATCCATTACATTGAAGAGATGTGAGAACTTGTAGATGCCACAACAAGAAATTATCGTCGATCAATTTAACTCTAGAGAACTTATCACCATGATTTATGGTTTGAGAATTATGAATTTATGGCGGTTAAATCAGAGTTCTCCCGTATGAACTTAACATCATTGCCACACAAATTTTACATCTAAAATCCACGAGTTTTACTCGTATGATTCTATAGATCTACTATTCTAAATGTATGTTATAAACTTTGTAGAATTATTATTCTACATATTATATAATTTATAATATATTGTATTTTATATTTTATATTTTTAACACATGAAATAAAATTATAATATGAGAGAGTAGTTTTATCAAGTTCTTATATTTTTAAATACAATTATATATTTTAAAATATTAAATTTAAAATTTGAAAATACTAAAAGGATAAAATAATATATTTTTTAAAATTTTAATTATTTAGATCACAGAATATCGAATTTTAAGAATTAAATTTACCCAACAAATACTCATTGAACCAATTTCAAAACAACGAACAAAATTCGAATTTCATATCAAACATATCATAAGTTTTCTGGATTAATTTTTATATTAATTATTTTAATCTATAGATTTGGGTTTTCATATTTTAATTAATAATAATCATCTACATCGAGGAGCACAATCATTATTTATAATATACAATTATATGATGCGACTCCCTAACTTATTTCTTGGTGGGTAAGTATGCGATTTGACATATCACCGCACACTTTTTTTATACATATATTTATTTAGTTTTGATATTTTAATTAATAATATCCATCAAAATCACCACTTTTTTTCTTTTTTAGACAAAGGAATACCACTCACTTATTATATATATGGTTAAAGTTGTAATATTTTAATTTGATATAAGACTTTCCTATTATAACATGTTGAAAAGGATTTCTTTTGTTTCCATTAAATATTCTGAATAATATTCTCAAAATCAAGAACACGATCGCTACTGTAATATACAATTATATGATCTTGTCGCCCTTATTTATTTCTTCGAGGTAAGTAGGCGATTAAAAAAATACACCACCACTAAGATTATTGTTAGGTGAAGATGAATGGTTATATGATCATTATTTATGAAGGTAATTATTAAAAAAATACACCACCACAATTATATGATCACTGCTGTAATGTTTACTTTTTTTAAGAAATATTTTTTTTGGTTAGAGTTATCATTAGAGTTTGATTTTAATAAATTTTCAATTAAATTCTAAAATTGAAATTTTAAATTTTATTATGTTATGAAAGATTACACTTCTATATTGTTTATTTCTTTTATTTTTATTACATAATTATATATTGTTCATTCAAGTTCAACTCGTCTTTACTGACCTATATTTGATCAATTTTTAAATCAAATTGATGCGGAATGGCAAAAAACTTGCTCCTTAAAGATAAATAAACATTGTATTTCTTAACTTCATACAGGCCCAATAATGAGTAAACAAGTGTGGTCTTTACTTTTTTTTTGTTTTTTTATTTTACTAAAATTTATAGTGGTTATCCATATCTCATCAATATCTCTTCTTGTTATTTTAAAAAATAGTTTCACGCTTTTTTTTAGGCAAAATTTCACGTTAATGAATGCTCTACTTCTATTTCTTAATTTTAGTTATTCCGGTTGTATTAAATAATAATAATAATAATAATAATAATAGTTGGTTGGTTCTTGTACTTTTTTCTCTCCTTACAACTTCTCACCTCCACATTTTTCTCTTTATTTTTTCGCCTAATTTTGTTTTCAAACAGTTGCAAATATGAGGAAAACATTTAGTAAAATTAATAAAATAACGATCACATTTAATCTTTTTAATATAGCACCTTTTCTTTAAAACGAATTTTACCCAAATGATATACGTCAGATATATATAATATATTGTACAACTGATATATGTATGTGATATATTGATATACTACTGATATGAGTGT